AAATTCAAATCCTTTTGCCATTTACGTTCTATTTAAAAAGCTCCATATCTGAGTGTGAGGCTTTTAGCTCTCAGTCACCTGAGAAGGGATCTCAGTGAGGAACTGTCTAGATCAGGTTGTCCCATGGACATGCTTCTGAGGGATCGTCTTTATTACATCAAGCGACACAGGAAGACCCTTCTTAATGGTGGGCAGGACCTGGGCTGTGTAAGCGGAGAAAATCTGAGCTTTCTCAGCTTACACACCCTACACTTTTCTCTGACGTTAGACATGACGGGATCAGCCACTTCAAGCTCCTAATACTGGACTTTCCATAAGGAACTGTCACCTGAAACTGTGAACTATGTAAAAAAAAGTGTTCCTCCCTTAAATTGCTTTTGTCAGAGCATTTTATCACAGCAACAGAAAAGAGAGTACACCAGTGGGTCTATTAGTAAGTACGCGTTTATAAACTGTGGGCGCAGGAAAAACTTAAGATAGTTTGCTTCCTGAGACAAAACTAAAAAGGAGCTTATGAAGGGTTAAAATCCTCGTTAGCGTACGTCATTGCACATACATTAATACAAAAATTATGATGGATTTTTTTAACAACGTAAAATACATATTTTTCTATTGAGAAAAGGACTAATTTTTCCTAAATTTGAATATTTTAAGGAATATTTATAACATGTAAATTTAAGAAAGGGAGTAAGACCAAAACGAATTAATGTGAAAGACAGAGAGAGACAAAGTTTCAAGGACAAACATATATTTTTGGTCAGGAAGGTTTAAAGAAAAAGGATTTTTTAAAAAATAAAACAGGCCTTTTATAATACACATTCTTCTCCAAAATTAGAATGGCTGATTGCTCCAAGGAGAGCAGAGAGAGAAGAACAATATTCAAAAAGCAAAGATTTAATCAATTTGTAAAAGGTTAAAGAGCCTGAAGGGCTTATGAGAAGTGAATCATAGAAAAGGAAATTTTGTGTCAAGTTAGCTATTTCTTTAAACCATGTGAAGACTGTTTTATAAATTGAACATTAATATACAAATATAAAAACAAGAGTCTAATTCTGAATATTTAAAACAACAAATTTTCCTGACATTGATTTTCTGTCTTACCAAGATAATTTCCTGTGTTTTCTGGTATCTCCATTATACTTTTGATTGGGGGAAACATGGAATCTTAGAACAGTTTCCTGAGGTTTTGAGGTGGCAGTGGTGGTGATAATGGTGGTATTCTGCTTGAATGGTTGGTTGGTGGTTTTGCTTCATTCAGAACTGTCAAGATCAGGTTGTCACACTGTAGTGCAGACTGGCCTAGAACACGTGACAATCCTTCCTCTGCCTCCAGAGTGCTGGGATTACAGTGGCAGCTAGGGCTAAGACTTGCCTTAAAGTCTTTTGAGTGATTATTTTAGAAATCCAGCTTTGATCTCTGGCTAAATAAATGACTATTACTTTATGATGATGTTCGATATATATTTTTAATACAAATGTTCTAAAGATTATATAAAATTTATAAAAAGCCTGGTGGTCTTGGTGTGAAGCTGTCAGTCAGGACTGTTAGCTTAAAATGATGTATGCAATAAAAATAATTAAATCATGTGAATTGCTAAACTCTCATGAAAATTTAAACCATGACAATTGTCTTTCCCCATCCATAATTTTGAATCTTCTCTAAAACATTTAGAATCAGAGCCATTTGGTAAAAGAAAATCCTCTACCAGGTACCAATAAGTATTACTTTTTGGTAACACTAAGTCATATAATTCACAGATTAGTTTCTCATTGAATATCTTTGGTAAAAGATCAATACAACTAGAAAGACACATGTTTCTTGGTTCAAACTAACATACAAAATGGGGTTTGTTTTGCTCTGCTGGGCATTGCTTTGTAGTCTGACTTTTTCAACCCTGCATCTCTCGTGAGCCACAATTCTGCAGAAGTGTAATTCCAAACAAGATAATCCAGCCACACCCATCCCCTGTAGAACTGACAGACAGGAGCTCTTCACAGACCCTAGGTGAACTTCCCTGAGACCCAATGTGTGCCACTGATCCTCTATCACCATTACCTCTCTGATGAGAGGCAGCTGAGCAACCAGGGTGTCCACCACGGCCACTACAGATAACCAGATTCTAATCACGTTAATGAGCAGTGGTTTCAGAGAAAAGTCTGGATCAAACACAGGAGGATGTGAAAATGGTCAAAATCAAATGGAACTGTTTGTGTCAATTCAAACTCAAAGCAAGTCAATCAAACCACGTGGGTCTGAAGGAAGGGTCTGCAGGCCTGATTCCCTTATAACAACTATCATAAACAAAACTCTGCCAGTGCCAGGAGACTGCACAGAGCTCACCTCAACTTCATACGGAGTGCTTCCACAAGCCCGTCAGATGGCTTGTAACGAAGGCACTTGTTCCTACTCGCTACGGACAAGGACTGCCATTTCAATACTTCCTGTGATCCTCCTCATGTCTGACTTTAATGGCTTCCCCTCATCTTGGTCTCTGAACATAGTTTACAATGGAACACATATTCTTACTGCAGTGCTTGACATTCTCAAATAAATTTCATAATCATTTGAAAAATCTAGAGGGAAGAGACAGAGGTAAGGAGAGAAGAAGAAAGGAGAGGGAGGGAGAGAGGAAGGGAGGGAGGGGGGAGGGCAACAGGTATTAACTCAGTGAAGATAGGCTGGAGGGAGGGGTGGTGATAAGCAATGCATGTGAGTATGCGTTACTTGTCTGTGCTGGATAGCTTTAGATGTCAACTTGACACATCTGGGTAGAGGGAGTCTCAATTAAGGAACTGTTCCCATTGGACTGGCCTATGGCCAGGTCTGTAGGGCATTTTCTTGATTCTTGAGAAATGTGGGCGGGCCCATCACACTGTGGGCGGTGCCACTCCTGGGCAGGTTGCACTGTATTATACAATAAAAAGCAGGCTGAGCACAAGCTAAAGTAAAGAGCCAGTAAGCAGCGTTCCTCCACGGCCTGTGCTTCAGCTCCTGCCTCCAGGTTCCCGCCCTGAGTTCCTTCCTTGGGATCCCTCAGTGATGAACTGTGACCCAGGACTTGTAAGATAAAGTAAATTCATTCCTCCCCAGGTTGGTTTTGGTCACTGTTTTTCCTCATAGCAAATAAAAGCTAATTAATATAATGTCTAAGAAGGTAGGTGGGGAGTATAGGATGGGACACAGTAGTGAGGAGCCTGAGGCATAGGTTATGTGAGTGTGATTAGTGTTGATTGCCAACCTGACAGGATCTGAAATCACCTAGGGGACAAGCCTTTAGGCACATCCATGAGGGACTGACTGTGTTGGGTAGAAGAAGTGAGGTGGAAAGGCCCACCCTAAAGCTGAGCAGCACTATTCTCTGGCTGGGTCCTGGGTTACAGCACAAGGAAAATGTGAGCTGAACACCAGCCTTCATTTGCTGTGCTCTCTGCTTCTGGGTGTAATGTGATTGGCAGCCATGAGCTCCTGCTCCCCTGACCTTCCCACCAGGAACCCTTATTCCCTTGAACTGTGAATTAACATAAACCCTTTATTTTATAAGTGTCCTTTCTCAGGGTATATTATCACAGAAACAGGGAAAGAAACCAAGATGGGGTGCCTGTGTGGGATGGGACGGGTGGCAGAATGTGGGTTGGTGGGATACACAGAGGTACGGGGTAGGGAAAATGTTGGCACATTCACCAGTGACGCACCAATAAGACCTAAATACAAATTCGGTGGGAGGATGTTTATTTGCTCTGGCTTCAGGTGGAGACATGACGGGAGCAAGTGCCCCCTTACATTATCACATTAGCAGCCTACCCTGGGACTCATGGAGTCCTGTAGCTTTCAAACAGACATAAACAACCACATCACTCAAGACCCAGTCCTCAAGAAAAAGCCTGAAATATAGAAGTTGAGACAATCATGTGATCCAAGACATACACAGCAGGAGAGTTGACTTTTAAGTAAGCAAAAACAGGCTTCTGACCCTCAGAGAAGTGTGAGGGGAGACTCCAGAAAGCCACCCAACCTTCAGTCTAACACGTTGTCTCTGGAAGAACGCTCCCATCCAGATGAAGTCTCAATGTTTTTTCTGGATATAAACCTTGGCAACAAGTAAACATTCTAGTACAGAGTTAAGTCTAGAAATAAGATTAAAACAGGAAAACACAGCTCCACATCTGAGAAGACACAGGCGCTAAACCAGGCATGCACCTAGTTCTTGGACCAGCGGGACTAACTCAGGGAGGACTTCCTGTCAGGGATGCTCCATCACCAAAGCATCCCAGAGGGAAGAAGACACAATACTGTGCCCAAGGACAGAAGGAAATGGATGGACCTACCCACCGTCTGAGCACAAATGGAGAAGAATCAATCTGTGCACCTCAGGCAGGCTGTCACCCACCAGACCTCAGGTAGGCAGACAAATGAGGAAGGTTGGAAATTATACAAAAGTTTTTAAGCTTTCAATAAAACTGCTTGACAAGTGTAAAATATTAATTCAACCTGTCCAAATAGAAAATGATTAATCAGAAGGGTTGGGAGATAATTAGGGAAACAGAAGGTACTCCTTGGGATGGATGAGTGTAAGAGTCATTAGAGACCCCATGACTCAGAGCAGGATTTGAAGGAGCCCTGTCAAAAACCATGCATTAGAATAGGACAGAACCATTACTTCTAAATTTAAAGGAAACTAGATTTTTTTTTCTTGCAATCATCTCAATGGATGTGAGTGATTGCCTCCCTAGGACAGACAATCGAGCACTTTCAGGGCTACAATGTATGCTGATTATACAGGGCTCTGGTGTGCTCCTAAATTACAAACCTGCTCTTCCACCACCATTTCTCAGTGGCCTATTACCTACACTGTACAATCGCTGTTCTCCGGTGAGGGCTGAGCCTCGCCTCATGCAATAGAGCTGTTTTAATTAGATGACACCTTTCCTCCTCAGGGCAAGGAAGGGAGAAAGAACTGAAGGATGAGACCACTTCATATTCTAGGGTTTGTTCTACTCACCGTGCTGTGTGAAGAGGTCGCTGTGAACTATTTCGATCAAGCAGTGAAGTTTCTGGATGGTCAGCAAGCCCGTGGGGACATTCAGAATGAATTCAGTGAACATTTTGCTATGAGAAAAAAACATAAGTGACATCTTTCAGAAGCACAGCCCAAGGAAACGCCCTGAAATACCCCACCAGGTTGGACAGAGTCCTTTATACAATGCAGGTCCAAATACTGGCTTTACTTTACAACCACTTACATGGGTACAGCTCAACTAATGTTCAATAACAAGTGTTGGTGAAAATGTAAAGAAATTAGAAACCTCAGACTCGCTGGAGGACATGAGGGAGGGTTAAACCACTTTGGAATCTCCTCCAAATGTACAAACAAGTTATACCATGTGGCACAGCAACCTCAATTCCTAGGTATAAACTAAGAAAATGGAAGGGAGAAGGAAGGAGGGATGGAGATACATTCATCATATTACGACATATACATACATGTAAACGTTTACACATGACTCCAAGTAGTATTATTTGTAATATTCAAAAAAGGAAAAACAGCCCAATTATCCATCAATTATGAATGAATGAATGAATGAATGAATGAATGAACGAAGTACAGCACAGTCACACAACAGACCTGAGAAGCGTTGCTGGTCCTGGTCCTGAATGCGCCTTGAAAGCACAAGGCTAACGGAGGAGCACAAACGGATGATCCCATTTATACAAAAGACCCAGAAAAGATGAATCTACACACACATGAAATGGACCAAGGACTGCCCAGGGAAGGGGGCAGGATAGGAAATGGGTGGAAATGGCTCCAGGCATCTTACTGGGTAATGAACATGTTCTACAATCAGACCCCATGATGGTCTCACAACTTTGGAAATTAAAAAACAACTGACGATACATCACCTGTAATCACACAGCCTTGTCATAGTTCAAGTTTTTACTTCTAGAGCCAGTGCTATAGGCCTGCAACTCCAGCACTCACCTATAGCCCCAGCACTCAGGAGGATGAGGCAGGATGATGGCTAAAGGCCACCATGGGAACATGGTGAGACATGTCTCAAAACACAAATACCAGGGACTGAAGTCCCACACCTGCAATCCTGGCACTGTGGAGACTGAGAAAAGAGGATTGTGGTGAGCCAAGGCCAACCCGAAGTATGCCGTCAACCCCTCTAACAAAATACTGAACGAAGGATCAGAGAAATGCCCTGGCCAGTAAGATGCTGCTAGGCATGCCTGGCAATCTGAGTTCAATCTCTAGAGCACATATAAAGATGTAAGGAGAGAGAATCAACTTCACAAAGTTGTCCTCTGGCCTCTACACGTACGGCATGGCATGTGCAGGCCCACCCAAACACATACAAATGCCAATAAGAAATAAATACTCAAACAAATACATGATTTTTTAAAATGAAAGACAAAGAGAGAATTTGTAGTGTCCAAAAGACCATGAAGGAAGAAAGGCTAGAACTTTTTGTAGGACCTAAAAAGATGCGAACAGAAACAGCAAGCCTCAGCTCATCAATTATGCTGCAAGCTTAATTCCTAGTAGTGGCAAAGTTTGGGAAAAGACACCAGAATGAACCAGTAGAATTTTGGTTTAACGTTTAGGGGGACACCGAAAAATATCTATTAGGAATCTTTTAAGAAGTCAGGTATGGTAGAGCATGCTTGTAACACCAGAACTGGTGAGGTGGAGGCAGTGGGCAGTCAAGGTCACCTTAGCCTACATAACAAGTTTAAGGCTAGCCTGGGCTACATAGCTCAATGAAACAACAAAGAAACAAATCTTTTAGGAGATGTAAGACCAAGTCATTTCACTTCTGCGATTATCACAATATACAATAAAGGCACATCTACAGTTCAATTATAGAAAACTTTATCCTAGCACATTTACAAAGGTGAAAAACTAGACGACTCAACACTCCTCAGGTGACAACATCGAGGGGCCTGCTCTTTGTAATCAAGAAGACCAGGATGGCTTTGAGCCTCAGTGTTTACCTGCTGAGTTGTCAAGGAGGAGCAAGATTAGGCTAAGGATGAGGCCCAAGCTTTAGCATTGTGGCAGAGCCAACTGACTGACATGTGAACAGTGCTTTGGTTTACTTTGTATGCGGAAAAGCACCTAATAGATGGCAGGTCTGTTGTTAAAATAAATGATGGGCCAACATGGGATGGTACACTCTGAAAGTCACTGGTAATTATGATACACCAGAGGGCTGCATGACATGGCAGAAGCTGGCCAAGAGGAAAAGAGCAGTGACATGAAAGGGACGTATGTGCATGTGTGTGTGTGTGTGCATGTGAGTGTGTGTGGTGTTCAAGCCTTTCTGGTCATTTTTGGATCGCGGACTAACATTTGGGTTGTTTCTTCTGTCATTACAAAAATATGCATTGCTTGGTGTTTAAAACACTGTTCATGAAAACAAGAGGACTTGAGATTGGACATGCAGAACCCACTTAAATGCCATTGCCCACGTGCATGTAATTCTAGCTTCAGGAGGTGGGGTCTCCCCTATAATTCCAGTCTTGGAAGGCTGAGTCAAGGGGAATCCCCTCAAGCAAACTGATGACCAGGACTATCCAGCTTGGCAAGGTGTTTGATTGATACACCATGACCCGAAGGAGTATGGTGGAAGGGCCCGGAAGAGGGAGGCACCCCACATCATCCTTGGGCCTCCGTCTGCATGTGCACATACACATGTTTATGTGCACAGGCACAAAAGCACGCAGCTGAACCAAGCGTGGTGGTGAACACCTTTAATCCCACCACTTGGGAGGCAGAGGCAGGCAGATCTCTCTGAGTTCAATGAAAACCTGGTCTATATAGTGAGTTCCAGGCCAGCTGGGGCTACAGGAAGACCCTGCCTCAAAAAGACCAAAAAAAAAAAAGAAATAAAAAAGCATGCAGCTGCTTACACACATGTATGCATAGCACACAAACACAAGAAAAAGAGAAAAAAAAAACAGGAATTGATTTTCTAAATAGAAATATATATATATATATATATATATTTTTTTTTTTTTTTTTAATTTTTGTGGTAGCCCCAGCTGGCCTAGAATTCACTATGTAGACCCGGCTGGCCTTGAACTCACAGAGATCCGCCTGCCTCTGCCTCCCAAGTGCTTGGATGAAAGGTGTGCACCACCACACCGGCTATAATATATATCCTACTTGATTTTAAGGTCACTTTTGAAATTGGTGTAGAAGGCACTGAGGAGAGATACAGACACAGAGCAGGGGGTGAAGGAAGATGAGATGGCGCTGGGGAAATAGCCGCTGCGAGCACAGAGCACGAGGTTCATCCATCCGTCGTGAGCCCAGAAGGTTGCCTGTGGGCAATGGTAAGGGCGTCAGTGAGGGCGTACCAGAACACTCGCTCTCATGTATCCAGCCCTTTGCTTCTCAAACATGCACTGAGAGCCCGTGGAGGGGTCGAGAAAACCAGACAGCTAGGCTGCCATGTCTAATTCAGCGGGAAAGGCTCATGATTTAGCTTTTCTAATAAATTTTTTAGGGGTCACAGGTGCTACTGATTGCAGGACCACCTTTTAATACCAAGCTTCAAGGAAAGGACTTTGCAGACACCAGTGGGTAGAATGACAGTCCAGGGTTTTCTTTTCATCATTCTGGGCCTGCTAAGCTAAATGCCACTGTCAGTGCCCCACAATCAGAAAACCAGTGTCCCTGCTGGACACTAAATTCTAGGCACATCAGAAAGACTGCCTGCCCAGGAGACGTGCTCTTCAATCCTAAGACAGTGGCCTCGGGCAGAGATAAAGTGCAGCAAAGACGTCCCCTCGGGAACAAACGTCCTCTTACTAGTATTTAGGAGTACTGGGCTGAAGCAGTGCCATCCCCTGTACTGCTCATCATGCCAAATCACAATCATACATGAAGCAGAAGAGGCCAGGGCTGCTGGACTCCTCTGTGGCGTACACCGCTTCTCAGAAAGACATGAGATGTACTGATACACAGAAAAGGCAGACCAAAGCGGGGGGTGGGGACACACGGGAGGGAAGGGAAACCCTGGTCCCAAGCCTCACACCCCACTCTGAAAGCCCAGTGACCACCTTCCACATAATTCATCATCATCACCACCACCACCACCGATGGCAACACTTCTAACCTTTATGCCTGTGGCTCAGAGCCCTTCACTTAAGATTCATAAAGAGAAATCGAGCGGGATAGAAAGAAGAGGAGCAACGACAAGAATGGGAAAGCACCTGTGCAAGGTTCTCATGTGCTAAAAATTCAAAGGAAGCCAACAACCACATACTGAAATCCGGACACTCAAGTAGACGAAACAGTAAGTATGGATTGTCAGTTAGTGTTGCCAACTTGACAGGACCTAGAATCATCTGGGATATGGGCACCTGCACATTCCCGTGGGGGATTACCTTCATTTGATTATTTAATGTGAGAAGACCCATCTTATTTACGTGCAGGGCCATTCCCTGGGAGCGGAATCCTGGTCTGTCACAAATGCAGAAAGTGACCGAGCACTGGATATTGCTTCTTGACGGTGAATGTGATGTGACCAATGGCTTCTGAGCCCCGGCCAGGTGGACTGCAGTGTTGAACTGTAAACCAGAACAAACCGCTTCTCCCTTGTGTTGCGTCTGTCAGGTTTTGGTTTTTCTTAAACTAAGATATTGGGTCATAGTCGCAATGTGCCATAAACCATTTTCTAAGAAAATGGCTGTGGCTGTTCAAAGACAACCCCTTTGACTCGGGCAATTACCTGAGTTCCTTGGGATCAAATACCAACTTCACATCGTTGACGATGGTCGGCAAGTATTTCAGTGCTGCCCCCTGCAAACAGAAAGAGTGGTTGAGCCAAATGCAGGCGGGCAAATGCTAACACAACCTTTTAATTCTGACAAAAATGCACAAAAAGCAACGACGGAAGGGCTACGTCTAGATGAGGCCTAAACACAATGAAAACTGAGCAAAACACGTGTCTGTGACATGGCTGTGTCCACACGTAAGAAGCAATATTAATGAGCACCAACAGGCATCCCCTGTAGACCGTGTCCACACTGGGAGCCGAGTATAAACGTGGTTTGTGTCCTTTCTTAATGAAATACTTACCGTTTTTATTTTACGTTTGTGAGTGTATTGCCTGCATGTATGCAAGTGGCTCCATGTGCATGCAATGCCCCATGGAGGTCAGAAGAGAGCATCAGATTCCTTGGAACTGGAGTCACGGACAGTTGTTAGCTATCATGTGGGTGGTGGTATTTGAACCTGGGTCCTCTGCAAGAGCAGCCAGCGCTCTTAACTGTGAGTTTGACGTCTTCAACCGTAACAAAGTCTCAGATAACAAAATGAAGACGTCACCTAGAATCATCCAATGACGCTCCGCACACTCAACAGTGAACTCGGAGTTCTGTTCTACTCCAAAGACAATTCCTGTCTGTCTGTGAATTCCTTAGGGAAGAATAGTTACGTTCTTTCACTAAAGTATCGCCTACGTTCACTTTTGTGCCTTCTAGAAAGGCTTTTGAAACTCCACGTGGAGTTGCGGAACTGAACGTGAAGGTCGTGAGAAGCTTGGCAACAGTCAAAGGTTTCTGAACATACAATCACCAAAAATTGATCTAAAACCAAATGTACAATGCACCTGTTTGCAGTGCTAGCCCAGGTTAGACCTCATGATTTCACTGCAGCCTTAGTGCGAAACACGCACTGCATTCACTTTGTTCTGTGTGTGCGATCGCAGAGCACAAGGCCCGGGAAAGCCACCTCAAACACCTTGACTCAGAGTCCACACTACTGTGTGAGCCCTAGTATTCCTACGATAATACATTTCCTGCTTTTACAGAAACATAGTGGTTTATGGAACACAAAGACCTGTGATAACTTCCTGCCATCACTTCTCAACACATCTTCTGTTAATGTCTCTTTGGATTGGATTGCGGCAGACGTGCATCCATCTCATTAGTATGCAATTTTGCTTTGTTCTTTAACACGTGGCAAAATTAAATGCAGATCCAAGAATTGTTTTCAAATAAATTTTTAATGATTTGTTACTAATAAATGCTTGGGTTGGATACCTATTTTATATACCTATTTATCAGGGGTCATGGAAAAACTTCTCAGATGAAAGGGGGTTAAGAGTGAAAAAAAAAAAAAAAAAAAAGCTTGTGTTTTACAAAATCCACAAGCTCCCAGAATAAGAGTGGAGACAGATTCTATCACCTGCTGTGTTCCA